ATCGATTAAATAAAGAGCTCGTTTGGTAGCACTAAGATTTGTTGAATCTGCTTAAATTGGTGAAATTATGGCTGAAGCAATTGAATACACTTAATTTGCTGAATTATGGAAAAATTATATTAAAAATATATTTTATTAATAAAATGGTGAAAATGATCTCATGCAGTAACTTCAACTAATTCAACCAAAAGAGTAACTTCAGGTACACTTATTTTGATTATTAAACAATTCTACGTGCAAAATAAAAAATTGTTTAATTTCGTAAAACCGTTTCGCATAAACTGATATGCTGAAAATGGGTGTTATGGTATTACACTATTACCAAATCTAAAGCCGCAAATACTGCCTACTATATAGAGTTCGTTTGTTAATCTCTATTTTCAGTTTCTTTTTTTTTATAAAGGAAATCCCTATTTTCAGTTTATCAATATTATCAGTCAATTTTTTATCACGTGGACAACATTTGATTTAGAGCGCTAAATTGCACAATAATCAAAATAAATAATATTAAAGTTAGGTTTTTAACTAATTAATGAGCTAAAAACCCATTTTAGCCATTTCTTAATACGTATATTCTTTTCTTTATTCTAATAATAAAGTGTATTTTAAATATATTTTTTTGTAATTCATCAAATTCAGCTCTTCAACCAAAAGTTCATCAATTTCGTCGGTTTCAACCAATTCAAACAATTTTAATATTCCTAAACCAGTTAGTTTCAGTATAAAGTATCTATTCGTTGAACATTCACATGTGTTTTTTTTTAATTCTTGACACAAAATTACTTTTCCTTTGTTTTAGCTAATGAATTTTGTTGGGGGAGAAGAATAATTTTGACGCTTGTTTTTGGCATGTTGTTTTAGAAAAACAATTAATGGAACAAATATCGTTCATACCCTTTGACTTATGGGTAGTGAAGGGTAGTTAGGATGATTTATGCAAAAGGAGTTGTAAAAAAGGAAACGTAGGGATTTAGTGTCCGTTTGGTAATACCAAAATCGGCTGAATTGACTGATTCTGATGAAATTTATGAAATTCTGTCTGAAGTGTCTGATTCTACTGATTTATGAAAAAACATATTCAAAATATATTTTATTCATAAAATAAATAAATAAAATACATGTAAAAATAGCTAAAATGGTCTTCTATAGTAACTTCAGTCAATACAGCCAGAAAAGTAACTTCAACTTTACTTTCTCGTATTATTACACAATTCAGAGCGCGGAATCGAAAGTTACGTGTTTGGTAAAAAAGTTGGTTGATCCTGATAAGCTGAAAAATAGAGTAATCAAACGGACTTTTAAATAAGACATCCCAAAAAGGATTTGGGACGTCCCAAAAAGGATAGTGTACAGATTTAAATGGGAGAGTACACTTTTTGTGTATAAGTTGAGTATTCGTAAGTGCTCACTGAATTTGTGATATGATTATATGACTAGTCTAATTTGAGCCTTTGTTATTTAATCCCATCTGAGCTTTTCTAATCATATATATCCAAAACCTCATGTGATTGTTTACTTGTGAGTTAGTGGACTTAATTGATTTTGATAATGATTTAGTTACTTAGTAATTAAGCCATATATTAAGGCATAATTAAAAACACAAATTATTCATGAAATAATTATATAAATATGACCAAAATAAAGATGATTTACAAAAATATGATTATTGACTAGAGTAGTAATGAAATCATAGTAATTCATGTTCAAGTTTTGAGCTTAAGTTACCACAACACCACATTGTAGTAATGAATAGTCATATTTATGTAAATATGTTTTATTTTAGTAATATTCGATCTTGTAAAAAACCCATTATTCATTCGGTCAAAACCGACTTAATCATTACGAGTGTTTTTATTGGATTGAGAATTATGTCGTCTAGTTTGACCTTTTTTGATATGATTTGGTAAAAAAATGATGATCTGTATTAATCTGGTAAAAGTAATATGAGAAAATTCTCGATTTAGGAGTAAAAATGTTTTGTAATTTCAAAATAGAACTGTCATGTATTTATTTTTTAAAGAGGAGTAACTGTCAATTTTAAAAAACACTAACATGTTTAAAGTGCGGTACTGCTAAAATATGACAGTAGTCTTATTTTGAATTTTCCAAGACGATCTTAATCACACTTAGGGTAATTTCCCTTTTAATTCTATTGAATTTGGCATCATCTGTTTAAGTGTGATTTGGTCTTGTGTGAGACTAAAATCAATCCAACTAAAAACATTATAAGTTGTGGACCACAACTTGTGGTATAGCACTATGGTACTTCTTCTCATCACTCCCATTAAAATGTCTATTTAATCGCCATTTTAAATCCCATTATGGAAGATGTATGTTAACAAGTCATAATTGGGATAGACATAATAATTTAGATAGGACTAGGTAGAAAAAATAAACAACAAATAAATCTTTTTTGTCTCACCAAAGGCTAATAAATTCTTTCTTAAATATTATTGAAATATAACTATGGATAAAAAAACGTAAGTAATTAAGAAAATTTTAGTTGGACTAAGTTTTGTCTCAAACCAGATTAAACATAAACAAATGAGACTAGACCATATTTAGACAATAGGTAAAATATACATGAAATAGACATATACTACATACCAAACTAGACTATATTTGTTCAAACTATATCAAATAATTCAATCCGATTAATATAACATCATAAAGTGATTGTGAGTATATTCTCACAATCGCTATAATTTAAATATTAGAATGACCATGTACTAATATTATTATTAAATTGATTAGATTAATATAAAAAATCATAATTTCATTCACTATATTTACTTTAGTCATGTATTATTATTATTTTGGCAAAAAGTTATGTATTATTGTATTCCTCAATAAAAAATAATAAGAATGATCTACCACGGAACCACCCGCTACACTCCATATGAAACATGTGCAGAAACCTGAAAACGAAAAATGCATAGGTTTTAGGTCGATGTTGGAAATCTCCATTAAATAAATGGAACTATTCCATAGTCCATATCTGAATAATGCCGTCTGAAACATGTGCCGAAAGCAAACTAAACTTTTTACATCAACCATGAAACAAAAGTTTTTTTTTTTTTTGAAAACACCATGAAACAAAGATTAAATTTTAGAAATTTGTACCGTGCACAATTGATTTTTGGCCAATCAAAATGGGTTATGGGGGCAGCAAATTACATCATGGGACCGTTAAACGTGTCACAAATTATACAGTGGGATTGGTCGGCAGTTGATTTTCGTTTTTCTTTCTTCGTGGAGCATCCTTCATCTTTTTTGTTTTGCTTTTTTTCTTTCTTTATTTTTCTTTTCTTCTATTCTTCTCCTTTTTCATCAAATTAATAAAATACTAAACATTTACTGGTAATTTTACTTTTCTTTATCTTCAACTTAAATTATAATTGCATCTATTTTTATTATTTATCAATACATAACAAGAAGTTTATCAATCTAAATAAAGTAAGTAGATTGCATTTCATATTCATACACTAATTTTATTTTTGTACTATTTTTATATTCATACATAATGTGTGTGTGGGTTGTAGCAACTAGTATAAAAATATTACTAGCAGAACTAAAAATAACAGACTGAAATTTCAAAAAGATCGGTTATAATACACATCAATCACTAATACACTTGACCATTACAATTTACAACAAACAAAATAAAACATACGTAGTATAATATTCCAGGACTAATTTAAAAAAGAGATTTTCCCTTTCCCTTCCCCTTCTCGTTACCACCAATCTCAAAATGCATGCACCTCTTAATTGCATGCTAACAAACATGATTGCATCCCTGACATTGCGGTTTCAAGACAATAATCTTCTTTGTGGTCTTGGCATTTTTGTGGAAAACTGGTTTGGTCAGTCCACCATAACCAGATTGTTATCGATCATAGTGATGCTTCCCCTGAGCTGCAAGACTATCCTTTCCCTTTTTGTACTGAGTGACCTTGTAAAATGTGTGTTTCACTTTCAAGTGATATGAAATTAAAATGACTCGATTAAAAAGAGGGTTAAAGATTTAGAGATTTGTGACTTTGATTCAGTAGGCAGATTCAATATGGAGGTTTCATCAGCAATTGCTCTAGAAAGGAAACAGATTTCTAGCCGCAGAAACGAAATCGCCCATTGATTTAGGAGTTATAAAATTCTTGCGTGCTCTGTTTTTTAATGAGATGGCTGGATAAGAGTAAGAAGACAATGACTTTCATTCTGATCTCTTTTTTGATTAATCATAAAAACGCTACCGTATTAGGATGGATGCACCGTGCACACGATGTAGCAGCCCCACAGTATAATTTGCGCAATTCACTTATAAAATTTAGACAATACCTCATTACAAGTTACAAATCTTCAACTCCATATAGATAAAGGGCTAAAGGGTCAAATAGGCCCTTGAACTGACTTAAAGTGTTCAATTATCCCTTTATATAGGAGGTTTTGTCCGGCCGTCGCTAATTGGGGTGGTTCCCGATGGAATTTTTTGATGAAATTTTTTGAGCATCTTCTTCATTAAGTCTAGTTTATACATACCAAATTTCAGCTAAAAATTTAACCGGGAAGGCAGTGAAATGATTTTCCGAAATGTACTGTACTGTTTAACTTCGCAGTTATCTTCAAACAATCATTTGACTACCTTCCCGGTTGAATTTTTAGCTGAAATTTGGTACGAGTAAACTAGACTTAATGAAGAAGATGCTCAAAAATTTTCATCAAAAAATTCCACCGGAAACCGCCCCAATTGGCGACGGCCGAGCAGAACCTCCTACCTATATAAGGGGCTAATTGAACACTTTAAGTCAGTTCAGGGGCCTATTTGACCCTTTAGCCTAGATAAAGCTTTACGACAAATATTATGGATTTATGGTATGTCTATCATAAGCTTTTGAGTTTATTTACTTGTATTTTAATAGACTTTTATGACTAATTTTAGGTATCAAGTGGTTTAGATCAAGTGTCACAACTCACAAGTGATCGATTTTTTTAGCATTCAGTTATTTTTATGAAATCTAGAACATTATTATGATATTATATATGTTGTCTGCAAGACTTTCATGTTTGAACTCCCAAAAAATGAGAACGTTCTAGCAAGACTTTCATGTTTACAGTGCGTCAAAGACATGTTCGAGGGAAGTACTTACTGGAAATATCACCTCCATTGGGTACAATGTTGTCTCATTTACATTACATTACATTATGGTAAAACGCTGAACAACAGGACCAAGTTGAACAGGCAGAATGCTAGGAGCATTCTGTTGTACAACATCATCCTTCACAAATAAAAATTACTCGTAGATAAAGATAAATAATTTTAGCAAATAATCTTAATGGCTTGCATTTAGTTCCAAGGCCACTTGGCATCCCTCCAGGTGAAGCAATGACTTCTCGCACTCGAGTCTTCTTGAGATCTGGAAATCTTTTCTTTGGCTTCCGGATGGCTATCTGAGTTCATGGTAAATGCTGGACAGCGGCGAAGCTCTTCATCACGGACTAGAGCTTCTCGTCTGTAAAGTGGATTGTAATACCGTGGATGCTGTACAAACCTTACACCTTTCCACCAAAGTTTAAGAGCCTAGAATTCCACAATCCACAACATAAAAGATCATGAGTTGTCTAAGAATCTTAGTACCTGTTAGATATGAATGAACTTGGTTTTAATGGCCAAGTTGTTGACATTTGGACTAAAGTTGGTACATTGTGCAAAAACAAAATCATAGGCATACTTCCTCAGATAATTAACAAAAGTAATATGGAGTATTATGTATCTAAAGATGAGGGTGGATATGTTCCTTTCATTCATTTTACCAATTTTAACATAAAATACTCGTCATTACTATCTTTTATTGTTAACCAAAGCACCTTTTGTTTAGCCTTGTGAACATACTTTACTACAATAATTGAATGGAGTGGTAATAAAAGATGAAGATCCAAATCTCATTTTGTATCAACTGGCTGAACTCTAAAATGAACATAAATAGCTCTATCCTCTTTTGGACTTTTAGATGTTAAATTATTTGCTTTAGTTTATTTTAAAATGAAATTTTATTGTAAGATAGCTCAATCATTCCATTTCAGTACGCAAATTCTGCTAAATCCACTTCTGCCAAATGGCTCTTGGCAATTTTAATTTAACAATTCAACCTTTAGAATATTAAAGATCATATAATATATCAGTGTAGCACGCATATAAGATATGTATTCAGTAGTATAATGAATATTTCCATGCCAGCCAACAGCAACTTACCTGCCAGTATATCCAAAATGCAACTTTATGAGGCATCAGCCAGAAGAATAGTGCGTGATCCACCTGTGTAGAAGACAATACTTGTTTGGCGACCAATGAAGCTGAGAAATAGTCACCAAGTGTAGGATGATTAACTGAAATTGTTAAAAAAATATTCTCTCCTGGAGTACTTGTTTTCAACCTCCAATTACCAAGCATATCCTGGAAAAAAAATCCCATAAAGGCATTTGAAAAATTAAAATTTTTACATTTAGGCTGTGTTTGCTTAGAGGAAATAACTTGCAGAAAACATCTACACACAAAAAAGTTTTTTAGGGGAAAACAGGTTGTTCTAGACAAGTTTTAATGCATCAAAATTCTGTGTGATATACAAATGGTAAGTCAAGAAATAGAAACACAACTGTTTGAGGAAAATGAATTAACATTCTGAAGCGGCAAGTCAGTGCCCTAAATAGTCCAAAAACTCAGAGGGAAAAAATCAAACTATCAAACAGGGTTAAAAGAAAATGTTTTCTAGGAATAAATTTTGGGTAAAATATACTCCATCCACCCCTATTTAATGTTCACGCATTCCTTTTTGGGATTCCCTAAATAAGTCTTCTTTGCTTATGAAGTTATATTGTAAAGAAGTTCTGATTAATTTACTTTACTACCCTCAATTTATAATGTCAAATAGTGTACTGTACAATAATATTTACTTTCATTATAGAGGGTATATCAAGAAGTCAAGGTAAAACACTGATTTTCTTAAAATCAGTGAAAGTCAAATAAGGAATTCGTTCAAGGGGCCGAGAGGGAGTATTAAAATTTTAATAACTGGAGTATTTGTTGTTTTTATTTCCCCCCGGTATGGGGGATTCAAGAATGTTATATAAAAACTAATAATTCATTGATACTAATATATATTCAAACTTAATTGTTTTTCTAGTGGAAGAAAATTAGCAAAACAAAATATTTAAACGAGAGAGAAAAACTTGTTTCAAAGACATACATTAAAAGGACTAACGTGTAGAGCTTTGGCAACCATATCAGATTCTGGGTTGAACAAAAATAACACTCTTTCACCCCATGGAGTATTTGTCACCTGAAAAACAGACCCGTCCAGGACACCCAAGTAAATCACCACTGACCAATTAGCAATGTGAAGTTATCTAGCATGTCATCTGGTATTACATACAGAGGACATTCATGTCTTATCATAACCACTCACTTCAGCAATACATTTCTTCAAGAGCTTAGATGAACCCTCAAGCTCATAGCAATAATACACACTCAAAGGATTTTGCTCATATCCCACACTTGGAGGCATTGTCAACAAGAAACTGGAGAAGCAACACAATAAAACCATTAATTAGTCGATCCTCTACGAAGTGGACACAGTGGCATTTACTTGAAATTAGTCATTGTACATTCATATTTTTTCCCTAAGGTGGTTTCACTTTCGAAATTCAATTCAGTGAAGATTGTTATTTGTTTAAGTCATCCTACAAGAGTATAAAGATACAAACAACATACATATGACTATATGAGACCTTGCCCCTTCGTCTATATCTATCACCTATTGGAATTAAAGTCAAGTCTTAATTAAGTCACCAATTAAAACTACGTCCCCAGACATGTTAAAAAGGATTTCAAGACTGGGATGAAAATCTTAGTAATGATGACAAAAATGGTACTAGTATAAACAATCACCAATACAACTTAGGGAGTGTTTGGATCCATTTATTTCTTGCTCCTGCTCAAAGTGCATAAAGACAAAAGGACAGAGCTAAAACTGATTCTGGTTCTGTTTCTACTTTAGAAAAAGAAGTAGAACAGGATCAATTCCAACCACCCAGGCAGCTTGTACAATTGAGCAAACAAATCAGAGCATAAACAAAACTAAGAAAGCAAAGTAAGCTTACACAGGGCCATTTGTGCCGGAAAAGGTGCGAGCTTGGGCAGCAGAAAGGTGGTCAGGAGGGGCGTGAGGAGCGTGTTCAAGGTCAAAGAGCGCGTAACGAACAGAATACCGGAAAGAATGGTGGACGGGGCGGCGGCGCTCGTGCCATACGGTGCCTTGGTACAGTGAAACAGAGTCTCCGGCGGAGCGCGGGTCACAGAACCGGCGGTACAGGTGGCAAAAGGGGAGGAGAAATGACAGCACCAGAGAAGTGAAGAAGGTGGAAAGTAGAGAGCCGAGGAGATAGAGTATCTCCATGTCTCTCTGGTGACATTTGGTGACATTTTATGTCCACATATACAGAATCTGTAATTGTGTGCTACCCAGCCTCCGCTCCACACGTACAAAACCAAAAAATGAAAGACCGAAGTGGTAGAAAAATTAAAAATGTTGGAGGTATACAAAATGCGTACTCTTTCGCAGAAATTTTGTCTGTCCTCTAACAAAACTCCAAGTGTTAAGTGACATCTTTGCTGAGTAATTATTTAGAAAGAATCATTCAAATATTACTAATAGAATTTTAATGGACAAAAATATCACTAATTTTAATCAGGACAAAAATACTTCATTTGACTTATCCATCCGCCCCATCACTTTTTGCTCCAGCATCTGATCTCTTTACACTCTCCCCTGTCTACATCAACAAAAAACTATTTGTACTCACTCTTATACATACTTTTGTACCCATCATGTCTGTGAAGAGTTTTTTTGTCTGTGAATCCCGGTCACAGACACAATATGTCTATGCAAATTATTTTGTCTGTGAATCTGATTCACGGACAAAAAACAACTCCTCACAGACATGGTGGGTATAAGGTGGGTATAAAAGTGTGTACAAGAAGAAGCTCTTGAACATCAATTCCATGCCGCCTCCCCCATTCGATGCTGCCAGGTCCACCTCCCTCATTCCAGGTTTGTACACTCCGCTGAAGACGATGTAAACCGGCGACAATAGCGACACTTCCGTGGTGACGGTGACCAGTTAACTCCGCATCTGAAACCTCTGTCGGAAATTGCCCAAAATAGGAGCCAAACAATAGGAAAGATCATAAATAGGAGTCTTCTTTATTAATTTCCTAAACAAGAGTTCTTTAGTTGTTAGCCTTTTGTTGCCTGTTTTTTACATATAAAAAATACTCCCACTTATATTAACTTCTCCCACTTGTAATTATCGCTCACCTTTGTTTTCTTTCTTTTTTCTGATTTGTCGCTCTTCATCTTTCCGACTTTGGCTCGCCATTCTTTCCGATTTTTGTTCGTTGAGTTGTGCCGACTTTCGCTAGTTGGAAAGGAATTTTAGCTTTTCGGACTTCAGCAGATGTTGTGTTCTTTCGCAGTTTACCTCCGTTCTTCATCTACCATCTGTGCTTTCAGACGACTACCTTGAAGCTCGGTCACAGGTATCTACGTTTACATAGCTAATTCCTTCAATTTAGTTTGAACTTCATATAAAATTTAATATTTAATCATTAACTCTGCATCTATTTCATTAATTAGGTGTTCCTTCACATTTTTTTGTTTACGATCCTTTTTCTCAGAATTTTGTTGTTTACGATCACATTTCTCAGAAATAGCAACATGCGATTCTCTTCATGTTTGTGTTACTATTTCATTACTTAAACTTAATGAATTGTTGTTGAAAGACTCTATTGTGTGTTTCTATATATACTCTGACTGTATTTTAGAGCATAAATTCTGATGTACTTTAACTAGCTTTAGAATGTCTATTCTTTGTGCCCAAGTCACTATTAATTCACATGTACTCTGCAACCAATTATAGCCATGGTTTTTGACGTCAATGCCATAGTTGTTGTCTTAGATGCCATCTTTCGGCTTATAGCTTTTAACCTAATTTTTAATGATATACTGTTGTTATATATGGGCTTAGGTATTGTTGTCACTTATTTTTGTAGTCATTACTTCTCATTTTTAATATTATTCTTCCATATGGATCCTCCCCTGTTGATTATGTTGCACTTGGATGGTTTGTAGTTGTCTGACTACACCTTCATGCACTCTCAAAGTTATGGTATTCATGTTCCTCCACATTCGACGTACATATCATTCATTGAAAATATGTGTGTCGTCTTAAATCACTGCAACCCACACAGTTTCTTTAGACTTTCTTATATGGTGGATGCCCCCCTCCCCCGTATGGATTCATAATGAGGAAACATTCCAATTTTATCTTCATCTCAAGTTTGTGCAATCTAATTTTAAGAAATATCCATTGTGTGTAGAGTTCATCTCTGATCAGAGTGTTCAAGTTGATATTTTATTACCATCTCATCATTTAATTGATCACATTTTATTTCTTCACATGAATTTCCTTCTTTACCATCTAGCCAATATGCTTCTTCACCTATCAATTTATCTAATGTTGATGAATCAGGGAACAATTCATCATGTAGTGATTCTTCCTCATCAGATTGTTCTACTACTCCAATTCCTATCCCCCTTCTTCCATATCTAAACAATCCTCCTCTCAAACATTATCCATTCACCATAATGTTGACGTACTCGCACATCATGATACAACTTGTCTTCTTGTCCATGCCATTTATAAGAACATGAATGACCTTCTTTATCACGTTAAGATGTATGCTATTACTAATACTTTCCAATATGAAACCCGCACATCAACCAAGACTTCTTTGCATGTTGTTTGTGTGGGTGAGAAGTGCAAATCTGTTGTGCATGTTGTGAAGTTAAGTGGGATTGGCATGTTTAAGATTCGAAAGTATTCACAAACTGTGTATACATTTCTTTTATTTATTGCTATCATCTTATGTAATTGATATGTACTTAATATGGCATTAACATACTTGTCCTAACCAATTTTCCCTGCAGGTTCGATGCTCAGCATCCGTGTTCTGTTGATTTCAGATAGGGAAAACACCGGCAAGCTATTTCAAATATCATTGTTGATATGGTGGCGCAGAAGTACCTTGATGCATCACAGAAGCCATACACCCCTAAACAAATAAGACTTGAGATGGCTTTGGAATTTGGCATCTCTATATCTTATAAGGAATCCTGAAAAGCACAAAAAACTACCATGCAAAAGCAGTTCGGTTCTGATGCAGACTCATACCAGTTATTGCCTTATATGGCATACATTCTTGATGAATTGAACTCTGACTCTTCAATAGATCTTATTAGAGGTGACATTAATGAGTTTCAATATTTTTTCTTCTCACTAGCATCATGGATTCACGCTTGGGAGTTCTGTATGCTGATATTAATTGTAGATGACTCCTTCATGAAGGCATACTATAAAGGTACACTGCTCGTTGTTTGTGGACAAGATGCGAACAATCAAATTGTTCCTTTAGCGTTTGGTATTTGTGACCCAGAAAGCAAAGCTTCTTAGTTTTGGTTATTATCCAAATTGCGTGAGTCACTTAAGTTTCGTCAGAATATGTATATGTGTCTCATCGTCATAAAGTTATAATACATTATGCCTCTAAACTGTTCCCACATGCCATTCATGGTTTTTGTGTTGAACACCTTATGAAGAATCTGATTTCTAAGTTCAAAGGGTGTTCTGAAGAAGTATGAAAAATACATGTCTATGTTGGATTCTGAAAATATTAAGATCCGTCCCTGGTTATACAAGCTTGGCAGTCATAGATGGCCTAGGTGCATGGCTGGACCACGTAGATTTGCTGTGTTGACCTCAAATTGTGCAGAGTCATTGAATAGTGTTAATGTATTTGCCCGAGAGCATTCCATTTCTAAGCTAATTGACTTTTTACGTCAATGGATGCAACAATGGTTTACTGAAAGAAGTGAAGCAACACTAAAAACATCCACTCTTTTATCCAATAAGTGTGAAAATCATTTAGTGGCTTTGCAATCTCAATCCACACGACTGTTGTAACATTTGAGATTAATTTAAAAAGGATTAATAATACTACTCATATAATCAGAGGTGCATTTCCTTTTAAGGAAGCTCATCAAACTCCGAAGCTAAGCGTGCTTGTACGGAGTAGTATTGAGATGGGTGATCCCATGGGAAGTTTCTCAGGGCGCGCATGAGTGGGGACAAAGTGCACGCGCGGTAAAGGCTCATGGTGGTTTGTGAGGACAGTACTAGAGGTCAGGAGTAACTACATCGGGTCCTGCGGGACCGGGGTGTTACAGGTGGTATCAGAGCAACCCTGTGACAATGTGTTGATCCGTTGGATATCGGGAGGGCACTTAGGAGGTGAAGATTCTGGGATATGATTGAGATTGAATTGACTTATGGGCGCAACAAGGACGTTGCGATCCTAAGTGGGGGTGATTGTAACACTTGAGATTAATTTAAAAAGGATAATTAGTACCACTCATACCAACAGAGGTGCATTCCCTTTTAAGGGAGCTGATCAGCTAAGAACTCCGAAGTTAAGCATGCTTGCACGAGAATAATCTTGGGATGGGTGACCCCCTGCAAAGTTTCTCAGGGTGTGCATGAGTGAGGACAAAGTGTGCGGTAAAGTATTACTCATACCAACAAAGGTGCATCTCCTTTTAAAGGGGTTCATCAACTAAGAACTCCGAAGTTAAACGTGCTTGCAAGGGTGTAGTCTTGGGATGGGTGACCCCCTGAGAAGTTTCTCAGGGCGCGCATGAGTGAGGACAAAGTTTCTCAGGCTCGTGGTAGTTTATGAGGACATTACTAGTCTGCGGGACCGGGGTGCTACAACTGCAAGCCTGCATTTTTTATGTCATTCATTGCATTTCATAACTAATACATTTTTTATTGCCATGTACTCATTTTTATGTATAGTTTCATTTATATGTCACCTGATATACCTCACACTAACAGTTTTTCTTAATATGTGATTGTAGGTGAAGCCATATTCATTTTTTGAATTTGAAGTTGTAGACAGAAAATGTAGATCATTTGTTGTTAATTTTGACTCACAAAACATGCATATGCAGTGTTTTCCAGTTAGACCAATTCGTTTGTTTCATGTAGTAGCTTCTATTTGTATGCGACCAAGCCTTTCATATTATGATTTTATATCACCCTATTATTCTCGTAATGTGTGGATGTCTACCTGGGCCGGTACAATTCACCCAATTCCAGATCCACACTCATGGTATGTGCCTTCAAACGTTGCTAGCATTTGTTGCAAGACTCCTACTTTTGTGAATAGACCTCCGGGACGTCCTAAGAAGTCCAGAATACCTTCGGGAAAGTTCAATGGTTCAAAACGACAAATATGCTCTCAGTGCCACTAGCTTGGACACAACAAGAAGACTTGTCAAAAATCAATTCCTATACATATGTTGTCATAAAGTGTTCACCTATCCTAGCTACATATATAATAAAACTACTTGTATTTAGGTTGTAGACATATACA